CAGGCAGGCTCTGCAGGGGGCTGGAGGCGGTGGGGAGCCTGAGCAGGTGTGAGCAGGAGGGCGGGAGCTGTTCCAGGCGGAGGGTGCAGCCGCCAGACGCAGAGCTGGGGAGCCCGGTGCCAGCAGCCTGTCAGCTGGACCTCCAGAAGCATCAGGAGAGCCTGGGAAGGGGCTTGCTTCTCAGCAGCGGCCGCCAGCCATCGCAACGAGGCCCTTTTTGTTTTTTGTTTTTTACAGCCCGTTTCACCGTTTCCAGAAAAGGTAGCTCACTTAAGTCAAAACAAATGCTCGTTCTGCTGTAGCTCTGCGCTCCAGCTCGCTCTCCCCAGCTCTCCGAGGCCCTTCTCTGTCCCTCTGTCAGCCTGGCATGAAGGTGGAGGCTGGAAGGAGAGGGGGTGAGCAGGCACAGTGCGCACCTGGCTGTCCAGGGCTCCGGGCCTGGCCTCTGGTGTGCCAGCCCCTCGCGCTCCGGGGGCTTTGCTGCCAGTCAGCCCCTCCCTGGACTGGAGGCTCCCCAGGGTAGCACGTGGGCTTCAAGGCAGGAACACCCTCAGCACCCCTCGGGCCTGCCCAACATCTGTTGACCATCTTGGCTGCAGCAGGTGGGCCTGGCACAGGTTGACAGAGGAAGGCCCCTCCCCCTGGTTTTGCCTGGGCATGTGCGGTCACCTCTACCACGGCCAGCACATAGAGGCCCTGTGAGCAAAGGCTGGGCTCAGTGGTCAGGGCATGCCCGCCCGGCTCCGTCCAGCTGGGGCAGCTGGGAGGGAAGTTGCCACACAGCCAGGGTCCAGGTACGGCCTGTCTCCCGGTCCAGGTTGTCTGGGCCTTGGAGCGTGGGAAAGGTTGGTCCTCCGGGGGTGGGGGCCTGGCCTGAGGAACTGGGCCATGGCAGTGGGTGGGGGGTGTCGACCAGCCCTCCTGGGCATTCTGGCTTCCGGAGTGGTTTTCTCAGCCAGCCCGGCACCCGGGCCAGGCCTCCTTGGTGTCCTAGGCAGAGCTGAGGCAGCGCTGGAGTTGGGGCTGGAGCCCTGTGTCTGGGGCCGCAAACCCTGGATTGGGCCAGCCGGGCAGTGGGGATGGCCAGCTGGGGGCTGGTGCGTAGTGCAGAATGGCCTGCCTCACACGGCCTGACACCTCACACAGCATTCGGTTCCCTGTCCCAAGACGATGCTAAACTTGGCCAGATCGCTGTGATGAGAGCCTGCAAAGGATGCAGGGCACTGGCCACCATGACCATGCTCACTGGAGGGGCCAGGGCAGCCTTGGAGTGGACAAGCCTCATCCAAACCCCAGCCCGGGCACTTGGGGCCGTGGGACCAACACTGATGATGCCCATTCCTTTGTCAGCCCTGTGGTGGGACCGCCACCTGGGATCGCGAAGACTTGAATTGATACAAGGTTCATAAAGCCCTTGCCGTGAGAAGGGCTAGTGCAGATGGTGCCAGGATCGGAGCTCCCAGCCCGGGGGCTCTGAGCTGAAAGCCCCTTTGGCCCTCCCTGCTGCTTGGGGCTCCCACTGTCCCCTCCCGTGTTGCTAACCACAGCACTCCGTGGGCAAGGACCTTGCCAAGAGGAAAGAAGCCTCCAGCCCAGTTCCCGGCCAGACTTGGCCGTGCAGCTCCAGCCCTGGCCAGGGCCCAGGCCGCCTCTGCTCAGGCTCTGTCTGGGCCTGGCTACTGGTCGGCGGGCGGGGGCTGGGGAGGTGGCAGCCAGGTCTGCCCACGCCTCTGCTGGCTGGGCACGGTGCCATGGCCAAACTCCTTGGAGGTGGAAGTGACACAGGAGCCCGCACGCTCTGTCTGAGGGTCAGGAGCCAGCTGGGGGGGATGGGGGGACTCTGGGTACCAGCAGTCCCCTCCCCCACACCCACCATGGCAGTGCCCGCCCAGTAAAGCCCGTAGGACTTTGTCTGCTTCCAAACTTCTAGCCCAGGATGGCGGGGGAGAAACGGACCCCTTCAGAGCAAGGCTCATGGAGCCCCATCGTGCAGGGCCCAGGCTGGGGGGTCCGTCAGGGAGTTGTCTTTGCACCTGCCCAGCGTGCATACCCCAGGGCTGGCCTGCTGGTCAGAGAGTATGAGAGCCCTTGGCAGGACCTGCTGCCGTGGGCTGGGGTTTTCAGAGGAGAGGCCACCTGGGTACCTGCACAGGTCTCCCACCAGGGCGAGTGGGTGAGTGCCCAGAAGGTGGTCCCTGGGACATGTGTGTGGCTCTGCCCCAGGGCAGTGGGGTCTCCCGTGACCTCTGTTTCCTTCCTTGCTGTGTCTATCACTTGAACGTCTTACAGTGAAGATATAAAGACATAATATTCATGTGACAAGCCTCTTCCGTTTTCAACATGCAAGGAAAAATGAGGGAAAAAGACCCCCCAGGTAAATGGCCCAGCCTGAGGCAGGACACAGGGGGCTGCAAGCTGCCCATGAGGCTGGGAGAGGTGGAGTGGCAGGGGCAGCCCAGAAGGCTCGGAGCAAAGGGGGGCCCTGGAGAGCCCAGAACCGAGGCCAGAGGGCGGGGCTGGAGCGCTGTCCCATTTGCTCACTTACCACACTCTGGGACAGAGGTTCCATCATTATGGACTCAGGAAGGGCCCCAAGAGGGTCCCCCAAGTTGGGAGACTGGCTGGCATGGGGCAAGGTAGGCACACAGCAGGAAACTCTGCCTGTTACTGGTTTGTCCCCTGCCCCGTAGAGCCGGGACTGGGGCTGGCTGAGCTGCAGCACCCCCCCGCAAATCTCCCATGCAGTGGGACCCCCTTCTGGGATGGTGTCAAAACAGGCACCCTTGAGAGTCCCCACCCAGGGCCAGGATCAGTCTCCCAGGGGAGGAGGGCATGAAGTCCCATGCCTCCCCCACCCCCACCCCAATTCCAGCTTAGGGGACCAGTCAGGTCAGACACCCCTCTGGGCCTCAGGCCTGCTTCCTACCTGCCCCTGCCCCAGGTGGGTGGTCCTTGGGGGTGTGGGTGGTGGGTCTGCAGAGGTGGCCTGCTGCCTGTGCAGGGCCCCCAGGTGTGTGAGACCCTGTGAGGGGGCCGCCCCTGAGCCTCGGTTTCCCTGGATCCTCAAACCGGAAGGGCCCTGTGGGATGCCAGGCCGCCTCTTCCACCCAGCCTGGGGCCTGCCCGCTGCCCCCGCCCGCCGTGGTGTGGGAGAACTCAAGGTTCTCAGGCCAAGCTCCTGGAGAAATCCTTTATCCAGACCGACTCCTGGACTCAGTTGCTTCCCACTGTCCCCGGGAAGGGCAGGGCAGAGGGACTTGCCTGGGAGGGTGCGAGGGTGGGAAGGCCTGGGGGACATGGGGTGGGCCCGGGCGAGGCAGGAAGAGGCCTCAGTCATCCCACAGGCATGGCCCTCTGCCTCCAGGGTCCCTGGAGCACAGCAGGGGCCGCCCTCCATCTCCTGCAGGCTCTACCCACCCCCCTGGGAGTCCAGCACTTCCCTTCCCAGCCCAGAGTCCCCTCCCCTGGCTGGACATGCCTGTGGTCTGGCCGGGGCCCATGGAAGTCCCAGCCTTGCGGTCTGGGAAGTCCCTGGCTCCTGGGCACCTTCGCCCCCTGCCCCTGGGTCCTCTCACAGTCTCCCCTTGGGCTGATACCCACCACAGAGGTCAGTTCACACCTTGGTGCCCGGCAGTTCTCACAGACCCTTCCTCTGAGGCCCGTGGCCAGGAGAGGCCTCTCTCGTCCACATGTCTCATTCCCACACAGGAGTGGAGGGAAGGGGAGGGGAGCTGCCAGGGTCCCGGCGGGGCAGCCCCTCCCTCTCCCCCGCTTCAGGGCCGTGCCGCCTCTCTGCTGAGTCACCCCGTGTCTGGGAAGCTCCCAGGGCCAAGCCAGGCTGGATGAGGCATCACAAATTCACAAATTCCCCCTGCCTCCCGGGCAGGGAAACAGCTGCCCTGACTCACCTTGGCCCAGGCCTGCAGCCTCCTGGGGCCCCCAAAACCCTTGCAAACCCCGCCAGGCCCCTACACTCAGCCTAATGGGATGGTGAGCCCCCAGGTTCCTGTTCCCTATCCCCTGGGATGGTCCCAAGCTAGGCTCTCTGCCCATGGAGTAGAGGTGACAAGGTGCCGGGGGCCCTGCTGGGGTGGGGGCTGAGCAGTGCAGCCCAGACCACCCACCAGGCACCGGGTGCTGCTCTGCACAGAGTACTCTGTGTACATCCTTCCTATGCAATCCACTGGTCGCCGCGGTAACCTGGGGAGGCTTGATCATCCTGGCCTTGGCCACTGGACTTGGGCAGATAGGGTATACAGTGTCGGAGGGTGCGGGTGGGCAGGCTACAGAGGCTGGCTGCCAGGGGAAGCGCCAAGAGTGTCCTGGACCATAAGTGACTGCCTGCATCCCGATGCCGCCGGTCAGGGCCTGACCCTGAGAAACCCTGGGGGCATGAAAGCAGATCCTGACACTTCCATCCTCAGGCTCCTCTTGCATGTCTCTCTTCCTCTGCCTTGGTTTCTTTTCTTGGTCACCTGGGAGAGGGCACCCCAGTCTGATGAGGTGGTTAACTGGACCTGGGGAGAAGGCTGAAGGTGCTGCCTGGGGGAAAGGCCGGCCCTCCCAGTGCCACCCAGGGGGTGGGCAGAGACTGCCGGGACCTGCTGCTCCTGGACCTATCCAGGAGGTATACTCTAGCAGGTCTGCCGGCAGCTAAGAGGCCTTGGCCTGGGAGAGTCAGAGTCAGAGCCTCCGAGTGGAAGGCCCGCCCACAGGGCCACCTGTTTCCTACAGGCCCTGGGGCCCACAGTACGTGGCACCTGGTTGATAGGGGTGGGGGTGAAGGTGGGTCATTCGGCAAAAGTGCCATTCTTGGGGGCTTTGCAGTAACAAGAGGGTGTCAGGGCCTCAGGGGCCTGAGCGGGCAGCTTCTCCCACCTTGGCTTCTTGGCTGTTTGAAGACAGAAGCCCGGGGAGCTTGGGACCTGATAGTCAGCCCTGGAGAAGGGCTCCTTAGCGCTGTCCCTGCCCAGACTCACTCTTGCCCCCTGTGTCCACAGCCAGCAGCCGCCTGATGGGGAACTCTCCGGCCTCCTCTTTCATGGGCAGTTTCCTCACCAGCAGTCTGGGCTCAGCGGCCTCCGCGCATCCCAGTGGCCCCAACCCCTCCCCCTCGGATCAGGCCTACCGTGGCTCCCACCCCACCACCTCCCAGATCTGGTTCTCCCACTCCCACGAAGGTAAGTCGGGGCCGGGGCTCCCAGCCGCACCCCGTGGCTGGAGCCACTGACTGTGGTGCCCAGGGCCAGTGGTGAGGCAAAGGGCTCCCCTGCTGTGCCTGGCAAGAGCCAGCTGGCAGACCATGCCAAGCACTCTGGCGAGGGGCTGCCTCCCTGTTGAGGAAGCCGCCACGGGGGAGGTGGTAATTGGTTGGAAACAGGGGGCCAGTCCCGCCAGTCGGTGATCCTGGCCAGATGTGCACCAGAGATGGTCAGAGAGGGAAGAAGGGGGTGGGGCCAGGAAGGCTCTGGGGAGCCGAGGAAATGTGGAGCACAGCTGGGCTGGCTGGGCAGGGCTGCGCCCACCTCCTAGACTCGGGGAGGCATGGGCTCCAGATGTGTCAGCTGGGAGGGAGGGGTGGGGAGGAGAGAGCTGTCAGCAGACTCCGGCTGCCACCCTGGGGGCCTGGCCGAGAACAGAGCCCCTCCCGGCCCCTTCCTCCCCCTCGGTTGCAGCCTCGTACACACAGTAGGTGCCTCATACGTGTCTCAGGCCTCGTAGCTGGCAGAAGGGCCCCTGCGGACCCTTCTAGGACCTTGGGGCTCCCTTTGGCTTTCCCAAGGAGGGACAGAGCTCCGCACCGCCCAGCTCCCCACTGTCTGCTCAGCCCCTGGGCACTGTGACGTGGGCAGAGGCCCTGGGTCCCAGTGTCCCCCACCCGAGGTTCCTGGTATTGGCTTGGCCACCACAGCGTGGGAAGGGTTAAACCCGACAGCGGCTGGCACACGGAGAGGTAATTGCAGTTGGCAGCGGGCACAGAGGGCTCTCCGCTCCTGGCACCGGCACCGCCGTAACTCAATGACTGCTGAGCAGCGGGCGTTGTGTTTGCAGAGCACGTGGACCCACACACCGCGCCCGCTGCCACCCGCGTTCCAGGCGGGGAGATTAGCGCCCAGTGCTGCTGGAGAGCGAGAGAAACTTCTCTTTGTGCAACAAGAAAGGGGCTGTTTTCCAAACAGGACAGGTGACGAGTGAGGGACAGTTGTTAAAATAATCTGGGCTTTAAGCGCTGTGTGGAGCGCACATGTTGGGCAGGCGATAGGGAGCAGTTCTCCCCCCGGTGGAGGGGAGGCTGGGCTGGCCCTGAGGACCCAGGTGGGCAGAGCAGGCTCCCTGGCCGAGACACCTCTGCTGCCTGCTTCCCACCCCTGCCTCTTAGCAGCCTCCCCGGGGGAGACCTGGTGCAACAGTGCCAGGCCCTGGTTCGGGGCTTCCTGGGCCGGCCATGGGTGGACCCCACAAGCTCGTGGCACCCCTCGCTCCCCTGCTTTTTCCAGCCCTTCCGCCTTCTGTGGCTGCCAGGCACGCTCCTGGCCCTGGGGGAGCGTCTGGCTCCCAGGACGTCTGTGGGAGGGAGGAGAGGGCCGATTGCTGTGGCGAGGGCAGGGGATTCCCGCAGCAGCCACGTGGGACCACCTCGACCGAACTAACGGCCGCTGCCCTGCCCCGGCCCAGCCACAGGTGTGTGCGCACAGCCAGGCTGGCTGCAACGGTGGCCCCTGGTTAGGGTCGGGATGGCAGAGCTCTGCGTCAGGAGACATATATCCCCCGCCACTCCGGCCCACCCTTGGGGACCTTGCCGGCAAGGAGGGCAGTTTGTGGGCAGTGCCACCTGCCCTGGGGCCCAGGGAGAAGGTGCCCCTGTCTTGCCCCTCTGGGGACTGCTGGGGAGAGGCGGGGGGGAGGCGGCCTGCAGATAGCGCCCTCAACGGCCTCCAGACACTCACTTCCCCCGGCCAACGGCTGCCTTGGCAGAGCTGCTTGTGGGGCACCCCGCCGCCCACAGCCACAGCCTCAGAGCCACCTGGCAGTGACAGTTGTCACCACCCAGTGGGATGGGACCAGCGTGGGGGTAGCACGCTGGCTGTGCCGGCCCCCTACCCACCGCCTGCTGGGGGGCCCCCCCCCCGCCCACAGCCACAGCCTCAGAGCCACCTGGCAGTGACAGTTGTCACCACCCAGTGGGATGGGACCAGCGTGGGGGTAGCACGCTGGCTGTGCCGGCCCCCTACCCACCCTGCCCATCCTGCATGTTGGGGAGGCAGCTACTTTGAGGCGAGGGCAGTCTGAGCAGCCCCGAAACAGCCCCGGGTCCTCCTCAGGCCGGACGTGTCCACGGTCTCACGGGGGAGGGCACGCGTGTGGGGCACTGGGCTCAGTGGGCAAACACTGGTGGATGCAGGACAAGGGGAAGCAGGTGGGGCCTCCGAGCCTCCCACCTCAACGCAGCCTCTGGAACACGGGGTGGGTGGGGAGCAGGGCCCATCCGGGGCTAAAGATGAGTGTGGGAGAGCAGCAGCCCCCGGGGAGAGCACCCCAACCTGCCGGGTCCCACCTGAGGTAGCTAGTGCATCTGTCCTGGGGACCACACCACCTCCCAGGCCTGTGCCTCGGTCTCCCCCTCACACCCTCCCCTTCCCTGCCTCCGGGTAGGCTGCCCAGCCTGGGATCCCCTTCCTACGGGGTTCCCCTGCCCTCCGCCCTCTGCAGCCTCGCTCTGACAGGCCACGTGGTGTGGCTGCCTCGCTGTGAGCTCCCAGCGTAAAGGCCGGCGGGCGGGCGGGCGGGGCTGGGGCGAGTGGCAGCGCCTGCTGGCTGGCTGCCCTGGCAGCTTGCCTGGCTGCTAGTTTGACTGGGTGCCAGCTGGCTCCCTGCGTGCCGGGGCCTGTTTCTCTGCCGTGTGTGTTCAGGGGAAAGGGGGGAGAGGTGGGCGGGGGGCACGCGACATGGCTAGAGAGTGGGGGCCGGCAGGCATGGTGGGCTGCCTGGGCGGGCTGCTCAGAGCTCTGACCTCACCCTCATCCTTTCACCCTTGCCGCCCCCTCCCCAGTCTGGGGCTGGTCAGGGCTAGGCCCTGGAAGGGGTTCTTAGCTTAAGGGCAGGGAGGCCAGGATGGGCTGGGGTGGGGGCCAGGAGGGGTATGGGCCCAGGCACCTTTCCACTCCAAGCAGGGCCCCCCAGCTCTCCGTGGGTGGACCCAATCCACCATCTGTGGGACAACTGCTAGAGCAGGGGCCAGAGCTTCCTGCTTCCCTGGTGGAGCAGCTGGGGTGCAGGAGAAGCACCCCGGAGCTGGAGGAGCCGCCCAGGAACATCTGGCCTGGGGCAGAGCTCGTCTGTCCAGCCCTCGGGCCTCCTGGACCCCCAGGTTCACCCAAGTGAGGGGTCCTGCCAGAGACTAGACTTTCCCTTCTGGGGCCTGGGGTGGGGTGGGCGGCGGAACTGGCCCAAGGCAGGGGTGAACCAGTGTCCAGCCAGCCTGTCCTGGGTGGGTCCTAGCGGGGGTGGGGTGCAGCACAGCTGGTCCTATTGTCAGCAAGCCTGGCCCCCTCCCTCCCTACCCCACCCCCGGCGGCCTGGTGGGACCACCCACAGGGCCATGAAAGGGGATTCTGTTCCTGGGGGTTCAGCTGGGGAGGGATGGGGGCCGGAGCTGCTGTGCTCCCACAGCCTGGGCTACTCATGGTCTCTTGTGCCACCTGGAGGGGGAGCCTCGAGAGGCAGCAGGCACGTATGCCAGCACTGGCCGTTAGCCTGGCTGGCCTCTTTGTCAGAGCCGCACCCGTCCCGGCAGCCACTCCTCCATCCAAGGCTAGGCTGACTTCCAGTGGGGGCAGGGGCTGCACCAAAGAGCCCCTGGGCACTCCCTGCTGTTCCTGGCCCCCCAGCTTCCCTGAGCCCTGTCAGCTGTCCCTCTGTCCCCCTCTGTCCCCTCTGAGGCTTCAGGGCTCACCAGGGCTTCTGGGAGCATGTCTGTGTGAGGGACAAAGGTCCCAGCCAGTGTCACCACCTGTGTGTGATGACACCGTCTAGAGGAGCCCTCCACCAGCCCTTGTCTGAGGCAGGTCCCTGCCCTGGACCTGGTCCTTTTCCCCCAGACCCTGGCAGGTCCAACCCCTTCTCCTGGCCTCAGTTTTCTTGGTGGCCAAAATGGCCTCTGAGTCTGCCCCCACAGGACCACTGACGATCACTCCCCCCCAGCCCAGTGAAGATGCCCCCACGTCTAAGCGGCACCCCTCACTCTGCCCACCTGTCCCTGCCCATGCTGGAGGTGAGGAGCTGGGTCAGTGGGAGCAGCTGGCCCCTCTGAGATCTTGGGACAGCATGGGGGAAGGGCCCGAGCTAGCCAGATCCAGATGTGGGCATCAGGGCTGCCCTGCCAGATAGGCCCTCTCCCGCCAGCTTCATCTTAGTCAGAAGGAGGCCTGTCCTGTCTGGACCTCTGACCCCCTTCAGAGCCTTCTTGGGCCAGCCCTCCCTGTGACCTTGGCCCCTCACTTGGCCTTGCCTCAGCCCACCTCGTCATCAGGGTCCCAGCCTTCAGGGACCCCTCTGTCCTTGCAGGTCCCCTGTAGCAACTGTCCACTGCTGGGCCGGGGGCCGTGGTGCCTTCCTGGGCTGACATTTGCAGCAGGGGTGTGTGGGGGCAGCCCTGGATCTGACAGGGCTGGGGAGAGGCCTGGTGTCACATCTGGGTGTGGGGCTGGCTTGCATTGTTCCTGTGGCCCCAAGCCCCGTGTCTTAGACGCCCCGGGGTGGTGGTGGGGGAGGCGAGGCTTGGAGTGCGCAAGAAGGCAGGGTGCGGAGCCAGGGGCAGGAGGCCTGGGCAGGGGCGGCATAAGGGTTCCCTCCAGCTAAGCTCCCTGGCAGTCAGAGCTGCTGAGTGGGGTGTTCGTGAGGGTTTGGGGGGTCATGCCAGCTTGTTCCCAGCTCCAAGCTCTGAGATTCTGTTATCTTCTCCATCTTTAGTCCTGCAGCAAGCCCTGGGACCCAACCCTCCCCAGCCCGCAGGCCCTGCTCCCTCGCAGGGACTGCTGCCGAGCCCTGCCATCTCTGCTCTGTGCGGGCTGAGCCCAGCTCCTCCCTGCACAGCACGTGCCAGGAGCCCAGGACTGTCCACAACCGCCTGGCTCCTGGGCTAACTGCCCACTGCTTTTGTTCCAGAGGTGCCCGCGGCAGC